CTGAACAACTTCAGACCTGAAAGATGCTTTTACAGTAATTTTCATACACTTGTTTACAGCTGATTTCCCTTTACTACGTTTTAGACCAGGAAGCGGTGCAAGGGCCACTGTCACCACCCCAGTAAAGGTCATCAGCTGAACCTCAGGAATGTAAAAACAGCTAGCAAGTGGCAGCATTCCTAAGGTGCCCAAGTTTCTGTCCATAATCTATATTAGACATACTTGGGTTCACTCTGTTTATAACCAACCCCTACCAGGTCATTTTGTTCAAATACCTCTCATAATGTGCAAAGAGACTGCACACAAGATTTGTCTACAAAATACTTTATACTTTTAAGTAATTATAGGTATAGTAGCCACATGAAAAACAGAACTCAGATTTTCTCCTTTCTCAGTATTCATGAAGCCAGGAAGAATGTTCTCTTGCCATTACAGTGAATTTTGGTGTTAAACTATTCACTTTGGAGGCATGCTCAAATACAAATAATTAGCTTATTTGACCGGGAGCTCTAGCTCCCAACACGCAACAACAAACTTCAGATCAGAAGTTCAGTCTCAAACGTAGCAGCTCATTACTGTCACCCCCTTGTAAGACTCCTGGAAGGTTCACTGAGCAGAGGCTCCAATACCGTTTTGGAGACTTCATTCGCACTAGCCAGGCAGGGCAGTAAACTGTAGGTTTAGAAGCTTACTTCTGGCTCACAGATTAATTAAAACTTTGGCTTATTTACAATGTTTAGCTGAACAGCCTTATTTACATTAAGGATGTTTTTCTCGAAATCATCATGGTAGGTAGAAGAGCAGCTTTAAAAAAGTTATAAATCGCCTTTATTTTGGAAAATGAGGTTCTTCTTGAAGCCCAAATCTGTGGTAGTTAATACAACCTCAAAGATACGAGTCTATGAATTTACAAGACCAAGGAACAAGACCAACCACCAAACAGTAGTTCCCAGAGTACGTACAAATCACCGAAGAGTGCCAACTGTTGTTTGAAATGTTTTGTCACTGTTAGCATGAAAAGAACTAGTATCATCCACTGGGACAAACACACAGTATTAGCTGCTAAATGTTGTTAATATGAGGTACGAGCAGATATGAAAACAAACAAACAAAAAACCCCAACCAACCAGAACAGAAAAACCCCAAAAAGCAGCCAAAGGACACCGCACAAGGACAGACAGGTCTTCCCTTGCAAGAATCCATGTAGAAGTTGCACATCATTAGGTGAATGCGACAAATGCCACATGAAGGAGCAGCTGACGGAAACACAGTGCCATTCAGCTTGGAAGGAACAACCTGAGATCATCTAGTCCCACCACACTGTTCGAGGAAGGTCAGCCAGAACAGACTGAGGATTATGTCCAAAAGAATGGTTACTGCACCGCTTCTTGGGCAACACGTTCCAGCGCTTGACCACTTTCAGAGTTTAAAAAAAACCAAACAACTGTGCTCAGAGGGAACTTTATGCATTTCATTCTAAGCCCACTGACCCTTGTCCAGTCAGCTGGGCATTAAGAAGAGTCTGGCTTCCCCCACTGTTAGGCTCAGATCTCCCCAAGCCTTCTTTTCTCCTGGCTGAAGAGGGCTGCCCAAGCTTGCTCAGCATGAGAGATACTCCAATTTCTTAATCATCTTTTTAGTTCTGCACCACATCCTCTCCCCCAAGTCTGCAACGCTCCGTTCCGGAGAGCCCAGACCTGCACACAGCACCCCGCGTGTCTCCTCATCAGCGCTGAAGGGAAGCATCACCTCCCTTAACCTGCTGCAGTCCGTTGCATAATGCAGTCCGGAATGTTACTGCCTTTTTTTGCAGAAAGGGGGTGTTGCTACTTTCTGGTCAGCTTGTCCACCATGAACCCAAGGGCTTTGGAAGAGCTGGTTTCCGTCCGGGTGCCACCCTGTATGTTACTGGTGCTTGAGGTTATTTGTCCCCGGGTGCAGGTCTTTGCACTCCCCCCTGCTGACCCTCCTGAGGTTCCCATTTGCTCCATCTTGTCGAGGTCCTTCTGGAAGGCAGAACAACCACATGGTCTCCACCCACTCCTCCAGAGAACAATCTATCCCATGATTCAGGTCATTAATGTAGAGGTTGAACTGGATTTGCCCCATTTTTGATCTGTGGGGTACAGCACTAGCGACTTGACTTAGACTGGGCTTTGTGTTTTGACCCTCTAGGCCCAGTCATTTGGGCCATTTTTAATTTACCCTCCCTGTCCACATACCCCATTGTCGTGGTTTGACTCCAGCCAGCAAAACACCACAAAGCCGCTCTCACACCTCCCTCCAACCTCTACCAGCAGAGAGGGAGACTCGAAGAAAAAAGACAAGGAAGAATGTAAAATTGAGATAAGAACTATTTACCAACTGAGTATAAATAACATACATATAAATGAATATAGCAATACTACTACTAAGTAATTAAAGAACAGAAAATAAAACATATGACAACTGCGCGCCACGCACCAACCGATGCACAACCAGATCCCAAGTAGCAAGAGTCAGAGCCCAAGAGCAATCGCAGCCAAGTCTGAGCGAGCCCCACGAGCGACAGCACAACCGGGAAACCCAACCGACCCAACAGCTCACGAACGAACGAGCAAGCAAAGGAGCTAACTCCATTGCTGACTGCTTTTGCTAAGGACTAGCAGAAGAGTTAAGGAGCCAGCAAAAGAGTGTAAAGAGTTCCGGCCCCCCAGCCCACTCCCCAGTGACATACTGAGCATGACGTGCCATGGAATGAAATACCTCCTCGGTCAGTTTGGGTCGCTGTCTGACCCCCAAACTGCTTGTTGTGATGAAGTTGGGAACACAGCTGCACTATCAGAAGCAGAGAAAGACCTTGACTTTGGTGCAAGCACTCCCCAGCACCAGCTAAAAAGGCACCTTAACAGTACTCTTCTCAGGGTAAATCCCAAAACTTAGCTTTCTACCAGCCACTGTGAAGAGAGTTAACTCCTTCCTGACTAAACCAGCACACTAGTATACTCTTGTTCATCTTGTCTGTGATGTCTTCTTACTAGAACTCTTGACACAACATCTACCGCTCTCCACTATCTACCGCTGCACCTATTCGCATCACTATGACACCAGGTAAATGGGTAAAGATACCAGTTCTGAACATTCAGTCTCTCTCCCCATCATTGCGCTGCTCCTCCTCGACTAGCAAGGGTCATCTCTGACAAGTCAGCGACTATAAATTGCAACAGCCTTTAGCATTAACTGTAATCTTGCACCATGCCAATATTTCCTTCCTTCTTCACCCAAATAGCCACTTCAGTGCAACTAAGAATGCTGATAACTTCCTCAGAAGAGGAAGCTCCTGTTGCTCTGCCCCACAAGTGTTGTAATCCGTGCAATCACATTAAGCAGCAGAAACCATAAGCGATGATCTCACAGCCTAAGACAGAACAAAAGTTTACCAGTCCAGCTACCGCTGAACCTTCTGTACTATGATTAAGTGATGTTCTATTCCCCAACACAAACCATGTCAGAGCTGGAAATTAAATCTGGAGTTTTAGGCCGTATTCCCAAACTCTATGGAAGATCAGTATTTAGATCCTTCAAGGGAAGCTGCCCATCTTGCTATGAGCCCGTTTATCAGATGTTCAACTAAATACAGCAAGCAGAAGTTCAGTTGTTACACTCTGCCCCTTTTCTCCTCTGCCTCAAAAGACATGAAGTCTGGTGCTTTTGGGAGGTTGATTTGTTTTATTTCCTGAACAGTTCTTTTTAAATAGTTACAGATGATTCTCTTCCTGAGCTGTACACTTAACTTTCACCTAGTTGAACTGCTGCACCTAAAGAATTAGATGAAACATGATGCATACGCCATCATCCCTCGCTGCTGCACATGCTTGAAGACCTTGGTAGGGTCGATGAGTAGAGTCCACGGAACCAGAGGAAGAGGGCACAGAGGGCTACGCAAGAGACAGCCACAGCCAGTGAAACAGGAAGGAGGTTTACACTGACAAAGGAAAGCAAGCACAAAGGCAATCCCGCTCATGAAAAACTTCCAGTTGATACTGAATGATTTCAGTAAGAGGCAATGCAGTTTAACACCCAGTAGGAGTGGCTGATTTGTGTACCACATCTGTTGTGCTATACTAACAGTTTTAACAGCAGGCAGGGTAGAAGGCAAAAGGAACAGCTAAAGGTGCCTTTTCCTGCTTCTGATGCTTGCATACATACTCTTTGCTGGCTTTCAGCATTGTGTCTCTGGAGTAGGGAAGCTCAGAACTCAACAATTTAGAAATTACATAACCCACAGAAGTAGTAAGAAAATAGGTTTTATTTTCAAAACGGATCAAAAAATTTTAACAGTGCTTAAGGAAAGAGCTGGACAGCAACTTTCTGTCTACATTCCATATCGAAACTCAGGCACTTAAATTAACAAATATTTTGCTATTACAAACCCAGCTGTAACTATTTACATTTTTCTACAAAGACTAAAAAGTGAACCTATGCCATTAACAAAGTATTTTTAAAACATGTCCACACTTGCACATTCCCTAGTGTATCTACAGTTAAAATCCCCAACTAAGGCACTAGCCCAGATTATGTGCACCATTAAAATAAGTCCATTTTAAGCATCCGCAGTTCCCTTTAGTATACCAAGTTTTACTTGTTCTCCCCCACTAGAGTCTCACTTAAGTATTACTATATAAGCAGGGGGAAATGGGGCTCAAAGTCAGCCCAGCTCACTTCTCCTGGTGCTGGGTTTTATTTGGTGGTTTATTTTTTACTCAGAGTGTTCCACCTTATTTCACTTAAGTTACAGATTGGACATTTAAAATTAGAGTACAAATTTAAGTGTCACTTTTTTAGTATTTTGTGTATATTCAAAAAGTACGTTCAGCAACTTTGGGAACACTACACACATTCACAAACATGTTAAGTTGTTCAAGAATCGAATGCATTCTTCTGTATTTAGGTAATGGTGCGCAAGAACTTTGGTACAAGTGTTGTAACTGTGCTTCTGCTTTTTTCCGAAAGCTCACGATTTATGTGTGTACAGAAGACACCATTTCTGAATCATTTTGTGACACGGCTGCAGTTGATGGTGGAGGCTTATACAAACATACTGCCATGAGGATGAAGATGATCGTGATGATTTTGCAAGCAGCACCTGAATGCAAAGAACAGAAAGTCCTTGTTGCAGTCACAGTCAAGAGTATTTTAGTCATTTAAAGTTTCACATGGTGAGTCACAGTGTAAGACCCTCAAGCGGGTGCTGTGAATGTCAATGTACACAAACTGGAAAGGGCAGGTAAAGGCAGTCTTCCACCTGACCTCAGACCTCTCACCTGCCTGCCTTCTCCCCTGCTGCAGCTATTGCCGTTACTTCAGTTCTGTATTTCTTCACCCCACTCTAGCCTGAAGTACAAGTCTTCCTTGGTTCAGTATTGTTCTTCATTGCATCAATCCTCTCTTTACCACAAACTCCCCACGTACAAACCTGCTAAGTATTGTCTCATCTACCTTAAAGGGCTGTTCCATTTTTACTTATCACTGGTACACAGTGGTGTTTGTGCAACTGCGGGGGGGGGCCCAAGGAGAGCAGGAAAAGAGGGGGGATTGCATTTTCTCACAAATATGCCTTAGAGATTCTGAAACCTGAAGTTGTGACTCCTGCTTTTCAGTTTCAAGATTAGATGTTAGCAGTTCATTCCTGCACTGTGTCACAGTTGCTAGAAGACAGAGCAACAGTTACTGGAGAAGAAAGCTCAGGCTGCCTTCCCTCCCCCAGAGAGACACTTGAGGGGAACAAGTTGGGAAGAATTTTGACTAGTGTTTAGAGATAAAAATAGATCTTGATATAAATTTAGGGAAAAGAACTGAAATAAAAGAGGAAGAAAGCTCCTCAGACCTTAAGCTGCCAACAGATCAAGCCAGGTAAGAACAAAATGTGTATCTCCTGAACCTTAAGGGACTGACAAAGTGTGACCAAACTATTTTATATTATTAAAAAAAGTTTTCTAGGTCATTAAGAGTTACTTATTGTGGTCTTGCTCCTTCCATGATAATTTGCTTTTAATTATTTATGAAAAAAATATTTTTAAAAACCCCACACCTGCTAAAAAGTACAAGTTCAAGGTTCCAGTTTGAGATAATTCCCATCTAGCAGTCAAGGTCACTATATCTATCGCCTAGTTGTGCTGGTAAAACACACAAACTACAGCAGCCTTGTACATGTACTTAACATGAAGTCACTCACTTATGCCCATCAGCAGATATGCCATTCTTTTGTTGTCATAAACCCAACAGGCTCCTTTAGTTTTACATTCATCAACATCCCACAAAGTGCAACTGTTGTCTATAGCAACACCAAACAAAATTGGTCCAGGAATAGTACCTAAAAAACACAGGAACACATTAGAGTGTTTGAGTTACTTGAGTCACCTGGCCTTACTGCATACTATGAAATGCCAAGCTGCTGGGGGAAGATAAAAACGGGAGAGTCAGACACCAAACATAACATTTTAATTAGTTATAAGGCTCATATCACACAGCAAGCCTCTTCTGTTGCTTTCAATTAATAGGGTGCGTAAAGTGCCAGTTAATGCTTTTTTAAGCAAGAATTTTATTCACAGACTAGCAACTCCTAACTTACTCAGCTTTCACTGGAAAAATAAGATGTGATTAAAATTAGGGGGGAAAACAGATAATCAAGAAAGCAGGATTTTAACTGAAGTAAAAAGTCTTTTTCCTCAGATCATATACCCTAACCTTATTCAAATGCAAAGCACTAAAATATTATTGGTTTCATATGTTCAATTATACATTTTTTCCATCCCTCATATGTAGCCAAGGTTCTAGGAAAAAAATCACGTAAAATGAGTAGTGTTTAAAATTATTTCTATGTAGAATTTACTAGATTTGTGTGATTTTTGTTACAAAAGTGCTTTATAAGGCACAAGTATTTTGCATCCAGGTACAGCCAGTTTTATAATAAACACTCCAGGTACATCACTGCATGTCTACCTGACCTACTCAAGGCTTTAGCTGTTCTTGAGCTACCAAGCAGCAATGTCCTCACTACAGGTCTTCTGGCCAGGACTCCTGTGTGATCCCTCAAGCCTACAGCATAAAAATCTTGTTGGCAGTCATGTTAGTTGCTACCTTTTTTGCCAGTCAGCACAGGCTGTGCAAAAAGTTCTCCTGTCCTTAACAGGAATTAAGACACTGACATAGATACTTAGAATAATATGAAACAAAGGCCCTCATTCAACACTTAACACTACCTCGCAGATAACTTCTATCTGTGAGGATGTTTACTTTTGTTATGCTTTACTGGCAGAATGACTTACATTAATTGGACTTTCAATAGGTACAGCAAAGCAGAACTCACACTGCTAGATATTTGATCGCAAATGGCAGGGAATGGCTGCAGTATCAAACACCAGCATGAAAGTCTAATCAGTAACAGAGCCTTTTCCCAGACCTGAATTACACAGGTCACATAAAAAGTGTCTAAGACTGAAACAAGAGTTTAAAATATGCCTGAGGTGGGATGGGGG